CCCTAAAACAGGACATTCTACACACCTACTTAAATTAAGTGCTTGAGAAATTACCCAGTTATGCTTTCAGATACTACAGTACAGTAGTACAGTGCGGTCCTTGACTTCTAATCATTCATTCAGTGACTGTTTAAAGTAACAGCAGCACTGAAAAAAAGTGACGACTGGCTTTCACACTTACGACCACTGCAGCATCCCCACGGTCACATGATCAAAATTCAGGTACTTGGCAACCGGCATGTATTTATGGCAGTTGTGCTGTCCCAGGATCGTGTGATTACCATTTGCAATCTTTCCAGCTGGCAAAATCAATGAAGGAAGCCAGGTCCTCTTAACAACTGCATGATTCGTTTAACAACGAATGTGTGGCAATAAAGGTCATAAAATGGGGTGCAAATCACTTAACACCTTGTTAACTTGTTTAGCAACAGAAATTTTGGGCTCAGTTATGGTAGTAAGACGAGACTACCTGTGTTCTGATTTCTATGCTATTCACTTTATTAACAATGGAAGACTGTTAAAATCTAGTTTTTCCCTTAGATGCTAGATCAGGAGAGGAAGTGAGCTCAGAACATGCAGGTTTATGATGGAATTCTTATGGCCGCCAAGCCAAAAAGGTTGAGGACCGCTGCTGTAAGGTACTAAAGAATGGTGTTATGGTTGTGCTTCTACATCCTCTGAAGCATTTTTTGAAGATCAAGTCCAAAGCATTGCACAATCCTAAAACTTAGTTACTTGATATGAAGTTAATTTCAAGCAAACAGCTTTCATAACGTTTTATAAGATGACTAGAGGGATCTGTACGACTGAACTGAAATACACATTTTTACTTCTGCAGAACCAAGTAAACTAATCACTTTCTTGATTGAGCCACATATTCTAAATTATCTGGTTTTGTTAGGTAAGATTTTGATTGTTTATACTCAACAAATTTGCTGAGGAAAAGAGACAGAATTAAACATAGATTCCTGCAGCTACTAAGATATCATGCTACCTAGAGAAAAATAGTAAAAGAAAAAATACAGGTAATCCTTGAGTTATGACAGTTCACTTAGTGACTGTTCAAAGTTACTCGATAATCCATTCCCCAAGTATTTACGATACAGTTCCGAAATTATGAATGTTGCAGCATCACAGCAGTCATTCATCCTTCTGAACGATTGCAAAGGCACTGCAAAATTCACACTGCCTATTCTCCCCCTAGCTCCCTACAATTGCTTCCCCCCTCCCATCCTGCCACGCTGGATAATTTTGCTTCCAGCATCCAATCAGTTTGCAAGCGTTTTGCACACTGAGAGCGAAATGTTCTGAGGGCCGTGATGTCACACAACTTCAGGCCACCACTCTCTGAAAGAGCAGATGGATGCGATTTCGCTGCCTCAAAGCAGCCCGTCAGCTTGTAAACGTTTTGTGCAGAAACTGGAAATTTCTGGGAGCCATGATCTTGCATAGCAGAGAGGCTGGAGACAACTTGCTAGATCTTCACAAGATAAGTGACCCGGAGTGGCAGGATGGGGAGGGGGAAGCAATTGTGGGGAGCATGAAGTATCTCAGTGGGTCAGGGAAAGCCTTGGGAGGTCTTAAGCAGGTGGTCTGTTCCATTACTAGCCCCCCCCCCCCCACCATGGCCTTCCCCACCCTGAGATACTCATGTGCAATTAATGACCTGCATATTCGATTAGTGAATGTGGATTCAAAAGCAGAGAGTTCTCATGTTCATTTTACATGATTCACTCCAACGAATACTCAGATTAGGAATGTAACTGGCAGGCTCCATTACATTCGTAACTCAAGGATTACCTGTAACTTTGTAGGAATTAAATTGAACAAAAGGAGCAAGATTTTAAGGTACATTTGTTTGAGCATAAAATAAACAAAGAAAGCCTTTGCCATTTCTTACCAAGTAAATTAGTTTCACTACATGGACTATTTTGTTCTTTAACAATAAAGCTAATCAAAGGATCCCTGCTTCCAGGTTACTATAGTAACCATGCCAAGAGGATTTCTGTACCTTTAGGAATTGCATAGAAGAGAAAATTATGCTAGTAATTGGAGAAAATGAAATACAGCTTTTCTTGTCATAACAGCATTATGACATAAATTCTGGCATGTGACAAAATCAAAGCTTTATTTTGACTAGAAATATATCCCTTCACTATTTTTCTACATAGCTACATTTATATCAACAGAAGTATTTTCCAAATCAGTACTAATCTGTGTGGATTTCCAATTTACAAAACGTTTTTTAAATAAAGAGCAGATTTTATATATGTATATAAACATTGGTTATCCATTCAAATTTTTTATGAATAATGATTGTATTTCGATCTGAAATTAAAAAAACAAAAACTTATAATTTGCTCATTTATCTGGAACAACTATAGTCCTATAAACATTTCTGCCTATTCACAAACTTTTACAAGCACTGAGAACCACAAGCACGTGAGCACAATTGATTGTGCAGTGACCAATACCCTATATCCTCCCTCCTTTTTCATTTTCTAACTTCCTGTCAAGCACAAGAGCTGAAGATCTGCACTTTCATTCACTTGAACACACAGCCATCTCACTATACAGTAGAATGAAGAACTAGATTCAAGTAAATATGAGTACAGCGCCTTCCTTACACAATCCATGGAAGTTTAAAAGTAAAAAGGCAAAGCTTGTGCAGTGGAAAGAACAAAAACATGCACCCCACTCCCTTGTGCCTTTATATTTGAAAGAATTTGTGGAATGGGCTTCATTTTTACATCAAATAAGAGTTTTGCTGGAATAATATATGAAGAAAGTTCCAAATTATTTAGGAAGAAATGGAAGATTCTTGATTAAGACTGTTGATGGCAAGGAGTACTTTCCTAAGCTGAAATCAGTCTTGTTGAGCAACACAAGATTTAATGAATTTAAGAACTGTCCTGAATCAGACCACAAGTCCATCTGATCAAACATTCTGTTCTCACAATAAATCGCCAATCATATGCCTTGAAAAAGCCAGCAAGCAAGACAATACTCACCTGCTTGTGCTCCCCAGCCAATGATACTGTCAGGCATATTGCTTCTGATATTAAAAGTACATAACCACAATCATACTAATAGGCACTGATTATCTTTCTCTCTCCTCCATGAATTTGACCATAGTATTCTCTTTCACAACTCTTTAAATTTATAGATAGCACTGCTTCTTGTAGTGATTATCTTTTTATTTTCCATTACATGCTAAATGAAGCAATTCTTTCATACATTGTTTTTCATAATATTTACTAAAGAACTGTTCATTACTCAAGGCTGCAAATGATACTGTAGGCTAATATTATGAGAAAAACTGTCCTTGATAACTCTCCTTGCACCATAAACAATTCTGTGTATCTCTTCTTTTTAGTAAATATTATGAAAACAAAAGATATCATTTAGTAATGTGATATTGCTTGAAAATCTGTTTATGCCTTTTGCTGAAAGAAGTCTAGTATATCTTATCTTTAAAACTATTTCTTTAAATGATCCCAAATATTTTTTTTCTTTCTAGTGCAGTTGTTCCATACCTTTCATTACCTGGAGCACCTCTTCTGCAGGGTTTTTTTTTCCAATTTGAGGACAGGCAATTTGGATCAAAACTGTATCTACTTTTTTTTTTTTTAATTTGATTTATATGCCGCCCTTCTCTGAAGACTCAGGGCGGCTTACAATGTGCTCAGCAATAGCCTTCATCCTTTTGTATATTTATACAAAGTCAGCTTATTGCCCCCACAACTGGGTCCTCAATTTACCTACCTTAGAAAGGATGGAAGGCTGAGTCAACCTTGAGCCTTGGCGAGATTCAAACCCTGCAGTAATTGCAGGCAGCTGGTCTTAATAACCAGCTTAATAACAGGGTGCCTTAAACCCCTGTACTACCAAGGCTCTTTACTATGACCACAACATTCGAGCTAATAGACTTTAAGACTGTGCTGCATGTTACTTACTTTAAATCCTTCACTTTGAGTGAACTGACAAGTCAAAAATGCTTAGACAGATAGATGCACATTGATTTATTAGATTATATACCACTTTTCATTCAGGAGAACGACATTATACACAGTACTTACTCCTCACAACCACTCTATGAGGTGTGTTAAACTAAGGAAGACTGACCCCAAGTTACTCACAGGAGTACCTGGGGATTTGGGCAGGGAGACAGAATAGATACGTTTATTAAGAAAGACATTGACTATAAAGGGAGAGATTACAGAATTAAAATTGATGAACGTCCATCAACGTGAATCGATAGCTACAGCTTTTAAGATACCTGCAGATTCCTGCTATTTTAATTTTTGCGTACAAAACTGTATTTTAACCGACCTTGTAGCAGCACTCCGCTTGTGGCGCCCATCAATTTCAAGGGATGAAGCGAGGAGGTGACCCTCGGAGAATGTCTATGGAGATTCTCAGTCAGCCGGGTCATGGTTATCCCAAAGGTGCTTTCCAGCTGCCTCTTGAAAAAGCACCTTTGGGTTAAACCTCGGAGGCAACCCCCGAAAAGAAGCCGACGCGCGGCAACCGGTTTCGGACAAAGCAACTTTCGGCCCTGCCATTGGTTGCGGGGAAAATGAAAAAAGGGGGGGGGGGGAGGCGGGGGCCCCCCCGGAAAAAAAAATGGGGGGGGGGGTAAGCGGCTCCCCCCCCCCCTCCAAATTTTCTTCGCCCGCCTTCCCCTTGTGGGAGGGGGGGGGTGTCCCCTGCAGCCCTCATCGCCCTATGCCACCACACCGAGGTTTACGTCTCTCACCCGAATCTTCCGGCTGATCTCGGTGCCGATTTCCATGGCCACCGACACGGCCAAAGGCTTCCAGTCCCCACTCTTCCCGAAACCAGCTAGGCCCGACCCCAATCCAGCTACAGGCTGGAAGACAGAGAGAGAGAGAGAGAGGTGGAGAGGCAGAAAAAGAGTCGGGATAAAACCCAAGCAGGCCTCCGCCGACAGCGCCTCCTTTTGGTAGTGAGGCGGTAGTGGCGGTAGTGAGGAAAGAAAGCTCCTCCTTGCGGGCTTCACTGGACTCTTAGCCGAAGCGGAGCGTCCACTTTGAGGACGAAGGCGACGGAGGCAACACTGGTACTAACGCGCCCTTCACAAGAAGCTTTTCTGGGCTGATGCTTTTCTCTGGGGAGGCAGCCGGCTTGTGGGTTGATTGTGCAACCTCTCCATGTCTCCTGATGAATTAAAAGCACATTTGTCAGCCAAACAGCTATTCACCTCGAGTGGGTTGTTATGGCAACATTCGCCACAAAGGGTGTGTCAGGGGAGGTAGATCGAAGCCCATTTTCCAAAGGAAAAGAGGAGAGTCGAATATTTTAGCTTGAGAGGCATTGTAAAGACCATTTTTAATAACATTTGTCCAGGTTTGAGAACTATATTTCCTTCTTGCATTTATTGTACATGTCATTCCATAATGTTCTGTAGGAGCACTTGAAAGAAATTTTTCACTCAGTTTGAGGGTGTGTCTTTTTCACTTAATATTTATAAACTTTTATTGTGTTTTCAGTGTATTTGATGCTAGTTTTAAAATAAGCAAAAAGTCCTGTGGCAACTTAAAAATTCTAACGATTCATTATGGAGTATTTAAAAATGTATTACAGGTAGTCCTTGACTTAAGATCACAATTGGGACCAGCAAGGTGGTTGTTAAGTGAATCACATCCAGTTTTACAATGTTTTTGCCATGATTGTTAAGAGAATCACTGCAGTTCTTAAGTGAATGGTCATTAAGTGAATTCAGCTTCCCCCTTTGACTTTGCTTATCAGAAGCCAACAGGAAAGGTCACAAATGGTGGTCACATGACCTTAACATAAATACATGCCAGTTGCCAAATGCCCAAATGATATGACTGCAAGGATGTTCCAATGGTTGTACGTCGCTTTTTTCAGTGCCACTGTAACTTTGAAAGGTCGCTAAATGAATGTATTTATGAACTTGTAGTTGTTCTGGTGACAACACATGTTTTCTTACAATAGGGCTGTATTAAAACTTGTGTGTACCTCCGCTATCTATGATGAATGGACAACAGTTACAAATAATTTCCTTTTTTGATTAATCTTATTGTGATCTAAGGTGGTATTTCTTTTTGATTGCTTCCTTAGGTTATTATCTCACTGAAAAGGATGCAGTGGAGATGAAGGGACCAGACAATTAGTACATTTGATGGAGGAAAAATCAAAACAAGAACAGTCTATAAAGACATTGTTTTCTGTTATACCTATTAAGACCAAATTGGAAATTATCACTGAAGAGAGGAGTCATACAGAAGATTTATATAGTGGAGTATTGATTCTGACTTTTTATCAAGAATGATTATACTACTCAGATTCTTAGTTATGCAAACAATGGGTTGAAATTTAAACTAAAAGATCTTTTCAAAGACTTAAAAGGTTACAAAGCACTGAAATACTTAGAACTATTCTAAGGAAGGAACAATGCAAAAAGAGCAAAAACATCCATTCTGAGTATAATAATCTTGTAACAATGATACAGATCATAAAGAAATGTTAACTTCTAGAAGTGTCCCAGTCAGTACTTTCAAGAAGTTTTCATACTCTGCATGTAATTATTGATATAAAAAGCCTGTTTTTCCTAATGTGACTAATTTGTGTTTTTTCTTCATAATTCTCTGCAAGTATCTGCAAGAGGGAAGCTAGATATCTTTACACTGTTATCAGCTGACAAATTACAATTATTTTTGCTTCAGATTACAGACATTTTAAAATGCACCCACTGATCCATCTATAGTATATTGACAGTAAACCTAATTTAAGGAGAAGATTAAAATATTTTTCAGAACTGTAAAAATAAAACCAATGCATTTGGAAAGTCTGACTTTAATCAGAAAAGCTTAGCATAATAAAAAAACTGATCAGCTGCTATTTATTGTAAACCCCATATATATTTCTGCAATGGCCTTTTAGCCAAAGCAGCAGCTGTTCCATTGCTGACATTCTTGCTGCTAAACGTTCCAACTTTCTAAGGTAATGACTGCAAATGTACATAGTCTTCTCTTTGATGAGTGAAACTGATGCCTGCCACTTGTTTATATTTGATTTTTTCCAAAGCAACTTTCACATTAATTTTTAATTACTATATTTCACTACATAGTTTTCTGTGTTCACTGATCCTACAAAGGGCACTCTTATTTACATTAGATTTCATAGAGTTACATAAATGCAACATCGCTTATATACTTTCTTGATTGATAAAATTGATGATTAAGGAAATTGCTTAACTTTTTCTCAGTTCCCTACTATATGGCCCCTTCCCCTCATCTATTTTATAGACTATATCAGGGATATTAATTTTCCCAAGGGACCAAATGAGAAACTAGGACTGTTGTGGAGGGCATCAGCAGTGGGGAGCTCGACAAGAAGAGCCAAAGGGCCATATGTGGCCTATGGGCCGGAAAATGCCCACGTTTTAGACTATATTCTAGATTTTACAGTGGCTCTTGGATTTCCAGAAAAGGACTTTTGGTATACATTGAGAAGGAAGGACAGAAAACTTAAATTCCACAAAACATTTTGTAACTTTGGGTCCAAGTCACCATGTGTCCTCTCGCTGCTCCGCTAGCAACGGATGTGAAGAAAACGCTCCAGACAACGATTAGTTGCTTCAGCTGTTTAATCCTTTCGTGCAAGTCGGAGAACAACAAGTGACACCCAATGCAGTTCGCACAAAGTCGGCATTAGCAGCGGCTGCCTCCTTACGCCATTTTAAACCCTCGCGCCAGTTATTACAACGCCCTTCCGGGTATGGAGCTCATGGCGCATGCGCGCAGCGCTCTCTCTGCTAGTCAGAAAGTACTCGAAGAGCCACCCTAGTCCGGCCGCTGCGTGACTGACCGCCTGGAAAGAAAACACCCCCACCACCAAGGTGCGTGTGAACCACCTACCACCCCCCCAACCAACCCCCCTCAGATCCTTTCTTGATGGTGGATGTCAGACAGGGTTACGTGGCCGCTGCGGATCACAGTGTTGAGGGATCTCGACAGGCGGCTCCCCCTACCAAGGCTGCTCCTGGAAGACATAAAGGAACCACATTAACATACATTTATCGCTCCAGGCACCCCACCTCATGGACCGGGCTTTAGCGGGTACCGTTTGTGAAATCGGTTAAGAAGGCGGTTAGCACGTACATCTGTGGCCCGCACCCAGGATGAATCCTCAATTGGATACCCTTTCCATTTGATCAAATAGTGCAAGATACCTCTGCTGATTTTAGAATCTAGTACTTCTTCTATTTCATATTGGTTTCCTTCTACCGGGCCAGGCTTTTTTACTTGTTCACGGCTATGTTCCGCCAATTTTAACAGGCTGCTATGGAACACAGGGTGAACCTTGCCTAACAGAGGTGGTAATTTTAATTGCACAGTCACCGGATTAATAACCTTTGTTACAGGAAAGGGCCCCATGTATTTGGGTCCTAGCTTGCGGCTAGGGGTTCGTAATCTTAAGTACTTCGTAGAAAGATATACCTGGTCTCCTACATTAAACGGTTTACACTCTGCTCGTTTCCTATCTGCTTGGGTTTTGTATGACCTAGCTGCTTTCTCCAACTCTTCTTTTATTCGCGGCCATTGATTTCCGATGCGTACAGCCCACGCAGCAGGAGACATCTGTTCCTGATCCTGCGCATCTAATTCAGGAATAGCAGAGAACTCCCGTCCCGATACAACCTGAAAAGGGGTGGCTCCAATGCTACTATGAACTGTGTTATTATATGCCACTTCAGCGAACGGGAGTAGTTCCGACCAATCGGACTGTTGATACGATACATAACATTGTAGGTATCGTTCAACCATGGCGTTGGCCCTTTCGGCTGCCCCGTTGGTACTTGGATGGAATCCTGAACTCAACCCCTGTGATGACCCAATCATTCGAATAAATTCTCTCCAAAACTTGGCAGTGAATTGAACACCCCTGTCAGAAATAATACGTCGGGGTACTCCATGTAATCGATAGATATGCCAAACGAACATTTTTGCTAGCCTTCGAGCCGAGGGTAGGCCATGACAGGGAATAAAATGGGCCTGTTTAGAAAACAGGTCAACTACAGTCCATATTACAGTATTCCCGTTACTTTCTGGCAGATCTACAATAAAATCCATCCCTATCTCATCCCAGGGCCTTGTTGGATCTGCGACCGTCTGTAAGAGGCCGAGGGGTTTTCCTGGTCGTGGTTTCGACGTGGCACACGTCTTACAACCATTTACGTATTGTTCAATGTCTTTCCGCATACGTGGCCACCAAAATTGTCGTCGTACTAGATGTAATGTCTTGAGAAAACCGAAATGACCGGCTGTTTTGGCATCATGGCACTTATTCAATACGGCTTGGTGCATTGACACAGGAACGTATAATTTGTCCCCAGCCCAAGCCAACCCGTTGCGGTATGTTATCGCGGACTGATGGTTTGACAGCCACTCATCTGTCTTTAATGCTTGTTTTAACTCGTCCTTCCATTTGGAGGATTGGTTGGTCTGTGATGTTCGGGCCACCTGTTGCTTTTCGGGCAGCATAGCCTGTACCACCACTTCTCGTTTACTAGCATATTGTGGCAACCTAGACAGCGCGTCGGCTAAAAAGTTCCTCCCTCCCGGCACATATTTCAACTCAAAATCGAATCGTTGGAAATACTGGGCCCACCGTACTTGCTTAGGTGACAGCCGCCGGGGGTTTTGGAGGGCCTCTAGATTCTTGTGGTCTGTCCACACTTCAAACCGGACACCACTCCCTTCCAACAAATGTCTCCACGTAAGTAACGCCCAACGTACCGCAAAAGCCTCTTTTTCCCAGATAGCCCACCGTCTCTCAGTAACAGAGAATTTACGAGACGTATAGGCACATGGGTACAATGTTCCTGTTGGGCTCTTTTGTAACAATACCGCTCCTACAGCAACATCGCTTGCATCTGCTTGCACCACGAATGGTAATGTTGGGTCGGGATGTCGTAGGACGGGAGCTCGCGAAAACATAGCCTTCAATCCGTCGAAAGCTTTTTGACACTCCGGGGTCCACAGCAGTATCTGTCCTGGTCTTGCTCTTACGCCTGTGGCTTTTGTACGCAATAATTCAGTTAACGGGAGAGCGATATGGGCAAAGGCGGGGATAAACTGGCGGTAAAAATTAGCGAAACCTAGAAAACTCTGTAATTGTTTTCGTGTTTTCGGCGCCTGCCATTCTAAGATCGTATTCACCTTCTTCGGATCCATTTCTATCCCGGCCTCGGAGATGCGATACCCTAAGTAATCCAACTCTGTGCGGTGGAATTCGCACTTTGAGAGCTTTACAAACAATTTGGCCTGTAGCAATTTATCTAACACCTGTCTTACCAAAGCTATATGTTCTTCCATGGTTTTGGTATAGATTAGTATATCATCTAGATAAACGAGCACACCCCGGTATAAATGCTCGTGTAACACCTCGTTTATCACGTGCATAAACACGGCGGGGGCACCCTGTAAACCAAATGGCATCACCCGGAATTTATAGCTCCCTAAAGGACAGTTAAATGTGGTTTTCCATTCATCACCTGGCTTTATTCTCACTCTATAATAGGCTTCTCGTAAGTCCAGTTTGGTGAATATCTTCCCAGTCGCTAAGGTAGACAATAGGTCCTTCATGAGGGGTAAAGGGTACAAATGCTCGACACACACAGCATTTAGGTCTCGGAAATCCACACACAAACGTAGGCCCCCATCCTTTTTCTCTCGAAACAACACGGGAGCGGCCATGTGTGAGCGACTTGGCTGGATAAAGCCTCTGGCCAGGTTTTTATCAATGTACCGTCTAAGCTCCTCCAATTCTGCTTTGGTCATAGCGTACATATGCGGCTTGGGCAACTTAACACCCAGTTTCAACTCAATAGCACAGTCAGTGGCTCTATGGGGAGGTAACATCTCACACTCCTCTTCTTTAAACACATCCGCTAAGTCCTCATATACCTCAGGGTAGCTCAGCTGGGAAGGGTTATTGGGAACCTCGCACTGTACAGCTGCTTGATCTACACGGGTTTCTGGCTCTGGTTCCGGGCCAATGCTTAAACGGAGCCGTCTGTAGCCCCCCTCCCACCAAATGGTAGGTCTCCATTTATCAAGCCACGCCAATCCCAATATGACGGGCTCAACCATAGTATCCACTACCACAAAACGGATGTTCTCCCAATGTTCCCCAATCTCCAACCGCACCAATTCGGTTACCCGTGCTTCTGGTCTACCCCCCAGAAGGGACCCATCCATTTGTCCGAACCTAATGGAGGTTTGTAACTGCAGTGTTCGCAAACCCAGATCCCTCGCTACTGCTTCTCGGATGAGACATCGGGTACAACCCAAATCTATCAAAGCGTGTTGGTGAATCACTTTCAGTGTTTGGGGATGCCTAAGTACAATGGGGATAACAAAAGGGCGTATCGGGTCACTTACCATAGAGTCTACCGGAGCATCCTCCCCACTGCTGTCAGAAACCACCTGCAACACCTCCTGGCTAGCAGGCGTCTCAGACTCTGTCCGTGGACCACAGGCTGCCGTCGGTGTTGTTACTCTAGACCAATCCGACGAAGACCGAACTCTCTCTCGTCCTCTACCAACCG